ATCCTTACCAACATTGGAATTATGAGCATCTTTTGTCACACTAAGACTCCCAAAATCACCTTCCACCATTGTTTGATTAGCCCAGGAAGACGGAGGGCCATGAAGATCATAACAAAAGTTGACTGTGTGACCTTCTCGTCCACAATGTGAGCATTCACAAGCTAAACCACGACCACGACCACTACCACTACGACCACCACCACCCCTTGCACCTCCAAACCCTCTACCACCTCCTCATGCACCTTTGGGCCCACGGACAAAACCCCTCGCATTTCCTCCACCTCTACCACACATATGTCTACTAGGAAAACCTCCTCTGGAAACTACCACGGCTGATCTCTCTGAAGGTGGGGGATGAGCACTATGTGGGTTTGAGGGTCTCCTTATGAGAAAGAAAACCTCAGACAAGGATGGAAGATCATTGCTTCTTAAGATTTGGGCCCGCATTGGTTCAAATTCAGACCTCAACCCAGATAAAAATCTTGCTACATCTAGATGTTCTCGTTGTTCTTGTTGAGTCTTCAAATCAATGGATAGGAGTTGACAAGCATTGAGCTCATTCCTTAAGCTTTTTAGAGAAGCATAGTATTCTTCAACACTTTTATCAGCTTGTTGAAGAGAAAAATAGTCTTAGTACAACTAGTAAATTCTTGTGACATTGTCTTGTCCAGAGTACAATTGCTTGGCATGGTCCCAAATCTCCTTGGCTGTGTCCAGAACCATAAGGTTTATACTATGTGATTCTCCATACTATTCCAAAGTGATGTCATAATTTGGGCATTCTCTTGTACCCATTCATTGTACCCTTCTGATTCACGTTTCAATGGCCCTCTTTGATGTACTTCAACTTGCCTCTTGCAATGAGAAATAACTCGACCGACTTGGCTCATGGAATATAATTAGTACCATTGAGTTTCACCGTAGTTAATTGAAAAGTCATGAAATCTGATTGCACGAGTACTATAGGTTTAGTGCTACCATTTGATGAAGCCATGAGTGAGAAGAGATCATTGATTTGTCGCCTAGGCAAACTGTCAAACAGTTGGTATGCAACTACTATAACACACCTTCTTCTTTAGGGAAAACACCAGGAATCATCAGCCCTCTACTTTACAAACACTTGGAATAGATTGCATACTTACCACAAGGTGTCACCACAACACAAACCACTACAAAATCACCACACATTGAGGAGCACCTACCTCATAACTTGAAACATCACAAAGCTGCCCTCTTCAAATTGCCGAATAGAGGACTTTTAGAAAAATACCATCAACTCACACAACACTGCAATTTGAGGCATTAAAGCATCTTTTCCTAGTGGGCAATTAGTCCTCTTAAGTCCTTTTCCTTTCCAACTATTCTTAGGGCACAAAAAGATGGGACGTGAACAGTGTTGCGAACAATACAGTGGACCTAAAGGCTCGAATACAATGTTCCAACTATAATAAAGTAAGAAAAAATGAAGAAAAGAATAGAAGAAAGAAAGAGAAGAAGATAGGAAGAGAAAGGGAAGGGAGAGAGAAGAAAAGGAGAAGAAAAGAGGGAAGACTAGAAAGGAGAAATTTGTTCTCTTCTCCTTACTGTCAATCCAGGTTGTATTAACATTCTACTAAGACTAAAATAACTACAATACTCTTAGGAAAAACAGATATAACAGAAAAAAATAATATGAAAAAGACAATTAATACTACCCCTGTTAACTACTTCTAACAATTCTGACAGGCATAATCTCTTTTAATGAGCCATTCATTGCCCAGTTGTCTGTTCAAATATTACATTTTTTCCCATTTCCTATTTTCTAAGCAATACCCTCTTTTATATTATCTCTTTGGTTAAAAATGCTCCTCCAATTCCAAGTTGGTACTATTTTTTTAATTTTTTGTCTTGTAAGAATTTCTCATTTTTCAAATATTTGGCTTTAACCACCTTTGCTCATAAACAAGGTTCAAAATATCGATACGCCCGATACGTCGATAGGGGCATATCAAGCGATATTGATAGTATTTTTTAGGCTTTTTTTATTATTTTTTTAAAACTGGTTCAGGGGGCCGGTTTAAGGCTCCTCCACCCCCTGAACTGGTCAGAATCCCGATACACCTGTAGGGGCGTATCGGGAAGCCCCCGGCATGATAGTTTGAACCTTGCTCATAAATTATCATTATCCTCCAAGACCCCCCATCCTAATTTCATTATATTATATTATATTGCCTACATTAATGCGTTCCATTTTACGAATGTCCATCCAACCATTTGATCTTAACATGCATACTTTATTCCAATTTTTCTAAATTGAGGGGCTTCTTACCTTTCTTGTTTGCCCAAAGGAATTTTTTCTGGAGTCTATCAACTTCTCTTACTATATATGCTTTGGTAGCTAGAAAAGGCTCATTTGGTGCTGGGCTATATTTGTCACCACCGCTTTCAATATGGTAATGGTAATCCTTCCGGAAATTGAGAGAGTTTTACTTCTCCACCCTTTCAATTTATTTTTTTTTTAATTTTTACTAGAGCTGTTCACGGGTCGGGTTGGGTCAATTTATTAGCGTTTTTCCAACCAACCCAATCTGGTCGGTTTACTGAGAAATAAAACCGAAACCGACCCAATACTAAGTAAAACCGACCTGGTTGGTTTGAATCGGTTTGGGTCGATTTTGTGAATGATTCTCTCAGTGTGAATGGTAAAGGATTCAAGTCTAAGAAAGCAAAGGCTGGATGCCTGGAAATTAAAAATGATTTGATGGATTAAAACTGATATTTTATATATCAGAAATTTTATATATAATACGTACATTTTTTAAATAAAGCTGACCACAAATATATATCTGAAATATATATATAGTAAAACTGAAATATATCAGATATATATAATATATCTGAAATATAATATATATAATATATATCTAAGTTGGTTCGGGTCGGTTCCGTTTCGGTTTTCATGTGTGAAAACCGAAACTGAACTGAACCATTGGTTTATATTTTTTTGTAACCCAAAACCAACCGGTGCTGAAGAAAAATCGGCCAACTCGGGTTGGATTGGACCGGGTTGGTCGATTTGGGTCTTGTTATGAACAGCCCTAATTTTTACCAAGATTTGGATAAAAACATGGACTATTTTCTAACTTCTTACACAATACAAGTTTAACTTTTTAAAACATCGGGGGAATTAGATCCCAAGTCAATGCTAGATAGGCAGCTACCTGCTGGGACCTTTATGCTTTGAGTGTAGGGGTGTCAATTGGATCAGATTTGGTCCAATCCAATCCAGTCCAATATAAATCCTTTACAAACGAACCAGGTTCAAATCTAGAGGTGTAAAGTGGGTTGTGCCGGGTCAGCACGACACGGCTTGCAGGCAGCCTGCGCAAAGTGCGGGCTGTTATGGGTCGTGCCGCCCTCCCTAGTGAAAAATTTGAGGGTCAGCCCGGCACAGCCCATGGCCCAGGCCCATGTCGTGTCGTGGGCCGAGCCTTGGGCCAGGTCGGACCATGCATCGGGCCAAAGCTATTTATTTAAAAAAATTGAAAAAGAAAACTTAAAATTTTAATTTTATATGAATTTTGTGTATACAATTGCTTATATATACAATAATTAAATAAATTAGTATAATAAAATTAAAAAATTATTTATTTTATTAATATATTATATACTATATATATTATTATATTATTATAATTTATATGATATTATATAAATATATGGGTCATGCCCGTGGCACGGCCCGCATGATTGTGTCAGGTTGTGCCAGGCTGGTCCAAGTTCGTGTCGGGCCATGCCGGGCCGCGGGCAGCACGGCCCGATTTACACCTCTATTTAATTCAATCTGATGAATACTTTGGACCGGTCCAATTCAATGTTTGGACCATCAAATCTGCTAAATTTGGTTATAATTTAGATTTATCCCAATCCAAACCTGGTCCATTGACACTTGTATTCTTATCTTCTATCAATGGACCAGATATTGGTTCAATCTGACCCAATCCAATATAACTCTATTACAGATGGACCAGGTCCAATCCAATCCAATAAATGCTTTGGACCATTAAGGCTGGACTGGTCCAATTCAATGTTTTATTGGTCCATCAAATCTGTCCAAATTGATTTTGATTTAGATGGGTCCAATCCAAAACTGGTCCATTGACACCCTTAATCAAGGGTGCAAGTCAGGCTTGTTGAGATCCATCTAAGGTGAACCATAACACAACCCCAGTTGTTGAACCCCACCCCCCAACCCCAAGCCTAATCCAACCCGATTTTTTTTTGGATTGGGTTGCGATCTGATTGGGTCTAGGCAGGCTCGGTTTCTTTATTTCATTTCATTAAAATGTTCATATTTCCTGGACTTTAGATCAGCAACCTGAGCCTTTAAAGTGTTCGTAGATGGTAGTTTTGTTAATCCTAGAAAAGCTAACTTTGGTTTTTTTATTAGAGATGCTGATGGTCTTTGTGTGGCTGCTAAATTCGGTTCTTTTGGAGCTTCTTCAACGTTAGTTGCTGAAGGAAAAGCCTTATCGGGAGCTTTAAAGTTGGCTGTTAATTTGTCTCTTGATTCAGTAGTCTTTGTTACTGACTGTTTGCAGTTGATAAATAGTCTGAATTCCACAGAAAATTCTTGTTCCAAAGATCTCTTTTTGCGTAAAGACATAAAGCCTGGTAGTGTTGGGAAATCCTTCACTTTGAGCTGGATTCCAAGATCTGAAAAATGCCTTAGCTCACGCCTTGGATCAAGCTGGTCTCGCTAAGGATGCGTGTTTTTTTAAAGCTTTTCCTTTTTGGTTCTCGGATCTCCTCAGAAAAGAAGTTTTGAGTGCAGGGAGTGGGGGAGCTGTAGTTTGTTTTGTTTTCTTTAGTCAGTAGTTGTTTTGTAGTAGTTTATTGTTTGGTTCTAGTTTGTTTTTCTTTCTCCTTGGTTTAGCTTTGTTTCTCTGTTTCTTTGGTTCAATGAAATTCTCTATTTACCAAAAAAAAAAAAGAAGGTTTGCTATATTCTAATGTGTATATTAGAAGAAACAAACAAAGTTTGTATAACCTATCACCACCGATCAGGACCATCCAATCAATAAGCCATGAATTGGATGTGGCACATCCAAAATAAGTAATTCCCGAAGAAAGCCAGCAAGCAAACTAGTAAATACTATACAACAAGGCGCCCAAGCAGGAGCCAAAAGCCACTGAGCATTCTTCAGTCCAATTTTGATTCGCTGCGAGAAAACGATGGTCTTGTTGACAGGGGAAATACCACCTCATACAGATTGCAGAGTATTCCTTTATCATAAATATTGTTCTTAACAACAGCCTCAGCATCTTCCAATGGGGACCTTCGGAAGAAAGCCCTCCATTTGCTCTCTGGAGGCTTCTTTTCTACACTCATCCCACTGATACTTGCCTTGAGCGCTGCAGCACTCACCTTTGCTTCATTTACTTTCCTCTTCCAGCTTATGTACTCTTGCCACTTGAATTTCTGTAGTTTCAAAACAGAACAAAACAGAGAGAATATGAGGAAGTTTCAAAGAAAGGACCCAATCCGAGCACGTGTAGAAACATTATCCCAATTAGCATCAATTTTACCAGAAAAATGTCACAATCTGTGTGGCAACAATCAAAAAGTATAAATAAATGATACGAGGAAGTTTCATGGAAAGGTTCCATATTGTACACATTAGGCCAAAGAATTGCATTTAGTAAAGCCTAGGATATGTAAGAAAATATAAAAATATAAAACTTACCTCATTCGTAGTGGTATTTGTAAGACAGAGATGGGCATGGTACCCAAAGAATCCCATCAGTAGCAAGGAAACTACGGCTAGGAACACCATAAGAAGTATCTGCGTGTTGTAGGAACCTAACAACCACTGCATGCATTAAAAAAACATTTAGCAGAAGTTGAGAAAGACAATCAACAAGTTTGAACTAGCAATTGGGACCTAATCCCTCTGTGCAGCAAGCAGTTTATGTGTTTATAATCTGCCAAGGGAAATTCGTGAAAACAAGTGTAGCCCCCCCATACATTCAAACAGTTCAATTTATACAGCACTGTGCACTGACAGGACATCCTTGAAAAAAGGGAGATCCTACCATTGCCACAATGAATTTTCACTGTGAAGTTCAATTACAGAATGGGAGCATTTAGTTATAGAAATATTCTCACCTGTACAACATGTGGAAATAAACTGGAGAACGAGTTCTCGATGCCATAAAAAGCTGAAAATGACAAAAGAAGAGGGCTCCCCATCAATTAGGTCCATCAACCAAGACACCAACGAAATGTGATAATTGCTGCTTAGATTTACCTGTCAGAAGGTATATAACTTTGAACTCTTTCAATTGACCAGCAAGGACCAATCCAAGGACGATTGCTCCATATAAGCAAATAAGGAAATGCCTGAAAAGTGGCACTTAACGTGAAAAGAAGCATAAAACCAAATTGGATGCAGGAAGCACAATATGAAATCTGGAATGAAATTAGGGATAATAGCAAGTAAGTCATCATCATCCAAGCCTTCTCCCCAACTATACAGGGTTGACTACATGAATCCTGTCACCATTGTGTTCTGTTTAAAGCCACAATAGCAAGTAATTCAATTAGGAAAAAAATGTCCAAGGCATCAGCCTTAATACTTGAGACTTGGCAGAGTGGTCAAGGCCATCTATCACTTTGCAGAGCCTAGATCCAGCCCTGTCTAAAACTGAGATCAGATACACGACTGATATTCATGACAATCATAGAAGTACATAGTATTTTGATGAATGAAATGCAAAATTAGATGATGCCTCACCAAAGAAGGAAGGCCATGAAGTAGCGGGTATTTTTCTCCCCAATGCAGTTATTCTGCAAAAACAGTCTGCAGATTAAATATTATCAAAGTAAAACCCACCCAAATTATCCAATTAACACATAACCAATAACTAATAATAGGAATAGAAACAAAAAAAAAAAAGAAAACCAACCATCCATCCACAATGATGGTCAAACCGGGCTACACAGCGATCACATATGTTACAATGCTTGGATCTAGCAGGTCTAGAAGAGAAACAAAATTCCCATTAGGTAATATTGAAAACAAAGCTCCATAATAAACACATTGATGACAAGACTCAAAATTTTGAAAAAAAAAAAATATATATATATATACTTTGGAATCTTGCATGTTCTACATTCTTTCTGTGTGTATATGGCATTGTCATAAGGATAAGCAGTGAGGTATTTAGAAACATTCTTAGCTGTCACAGTTCCTGGATCAGAGAAGCTAGTCAATAGAAAGAGCAGCACACCCACACCAACTGCCAACAAACTTGTGTACCTGCAAAAACATGCAATGCCTAAGGAATTTTACAAGCAACTGTCCTATTATCATGAATCTTTAGCATATAAGAAACATTAGTCTCAGTGCGTGTTCAGGCTATACCTATGGACTGCACTAAGATAATAACCAGGGATATAACTAAATGATGACTTCACAATAAAATAATATGTTCCTCCAATTATCGCTAGATATATTATCTGCAAAAGGAGGTAGCAACATAATCATAAAAGGTCTAACAAGTGTCATATACATAACACAAGAAAATAAGCTGAAACCTTGAAAAGATCAAACTAGTAAGAAGAACCATATCTGCTCATATGTTTTGCACAAACATGTAATAAACAACTTCCATCCTATGACAACAAATATCATTGATCAAGTATTTTCATTGCCATAATTATATAGGCATCATCCTAGTTATTTGGTTTCAGCTACATGAATCCCATTTCAAGAAAAAAAAAAGAAAATACTAATTTCAACATCCTAATCAATCAAAATAATATTCTCTGTAGTACTCTTGAGGAGGAATTTCATCAAAGTGGGGGAAAGAAATTACAATTTAGTTTACATTGCTCAACCAGCTCGGCAGTCCAGCCCATTCAAACCAACAAGTTGAGAACTCATGAAGCACATGTACATGGGTTCATCTCACAATGAAAAGAATTGCATATCAAGCAGTTTTTTGTAATATTTATTGATCATATGCCATAACATTTCTTCACCCATGGAACATGCACAACATCTGCTCAATAAGCAGGATAATGCAGACAAACAAGAAGGTACCATGAGCTCAGAAAATTAGTTAAGACTGATAATGCAGCTGCACTTAAATATTTTCATTTGCATTTTATCCCTTCCTCTTTTTTTCCTAGATCAAAATCATGTTACCCATATACGGCAAGGACATGGCTGCAAAAAGGTGTCAGATACAAAATATACATTAAAATTGAAGTATTCAAAAAAAAAAAAAAAAAACTAGGTATCCCTGTACAGGAAACCGGGAATCATCAGAAGAACAAGAAATCCTTCACAGAGCTAAAGACCACCGAAGAAACTCTTAGAAGCTAGCGGGAAAAAAAACGACTAGTTGAAATCAGAAGAAGAAATTGGATTTCTTTCCCTCTTTTCTTCAATACAATCTAAACAGAGAGAGTGAAATCAATACATCTATAGGTTCTCAAAGTTGTATCATGAAATAAAGCAAAAGGGAGTTTAAGAGATGAAATTGGATCGGCATTAAAGGTAGTGAAACAACACATGGATTCCAAAAAAAAAAAAAAAGCAAATTGTTTACACTAATTGAAACCCATCAACCAATATGTGTGATAATCAAATGAGTTTCGAATTGATAAGAAACATGCATCGCTAAAAAACCGAAGCCGCAAAAAAAAAAAAAAAAACTATTCCAGGATGAAAATATGAACAATTGGAAAGTCAAAGTTAAACTAACGAAAGGAAAAGCTTTCAATTTCAATAATCAACTTTAAAGGAAGAACATTTCGACGACCTAAAAATCACAAAAAGCCAAATTAACAACGGAACAACATTTGTGGATGTAAAACAAATTCCTTGCATTAATTAAAGGTACAAAATCAAAGAGTTTACACAAGACAGGCAAAACCTAATATTACAATTGAATTGAAACAAACAGACGGAGAGTCGGAGAATTTTGAGACCGAATTAGGACGTAGGGATGAAAGAAACAAGTTTCCTGAACAGTTTAAGCAACGATTTCTATATTGAAGAACCAGTCACGGCAGAGATAATTGACAACAACTAAGGAAGAAAAAGGAGACTGGAAAAAAAAACAAAAACCTGTAAGATTGGGTTGGGGCGATCGCAACAGTAAAATTCCACAGAGAGAACCGAATCTCTGTATTTTGAACCGAAGACAAACTCCACAAATCGCCTGAAACAAAGAAACAGAAAAAGATAAAGAAAATGCAGAATTAGAGAGCGTATTAGGGAATCAATCGGGTGTTGAAAATAAGATTAAGAAGAGATCAATAAAGAGCGGGGCTCGTACAGGAAATAATCATAGATGCCGAAGGTCAAGAAGTAATGAATACGTTCGACGAAAGTCCCCTGAAAGATTGGCCACTGGCCGCATAGGCACGACACCACGACCAACAATGTGATGCAGGCATGGCAAACCAGAAGCCACTCTACGGCCATTTCCCAGACCCAGAGGCCAGAGTCAAGAGAGGAGTCGCGGCGTGGGGTGAAGAACTCGATAATCACGACTTTATTTACTTTTCTTGTTTCTTTTCCCCAATTTTTTTTAAATTTTTTTTTTCAAGTTTTGTTTCCTCTATACCTGTCAATTGGGTTGGGTGGGTCGGGTGAAGGTATTTCGGGTTGATTTCGGGTCGGGTTAGATTTCGGATTGGATTATCCAATGCTAGACACTAACCCTAAATGTTTGGGTTTGGGGTGATCCATGGGTCAATTCGGGTCATCTAAAAAATAATTAAAATTTAAAAAAATAAAAAAAATTACATGAAAAATATCAAAATTAAAAGAATTAACCTTAAAATTTCAAATATAAAATAAAAAGCTTGAACATTTAACAATTTAATGAATAAACAATAAAAAGTAAAGATTAAATAGAAAAAATTAAAGAGTGAAAACTTTTAACAATGCATAAATAATCCCAATTAGACTTGACAATCGGATCAACGGATTGACTCATGACACAATCCAACCCAATTCAATTTTTTTTGAGTTGGATCGGGTCGGGCAATTTTAACATTCGGATAGTTAAATATGAGACCCTAACCCTATTTTTTCGGATTGGATTGGGTCGGATTCCCGGTTTGGATCAACTTTTTGCCGGATCTAGTTTCCTCCCTTACATTTTTATAGACGATGCAGTTACAGAAGATTCAGTACTTAAGGGAAAGAACAGACCACACTCGCAAGTCGCAATGGAACGTGCCAACTATGTCATCTAATTCTCTCTCTCCCTCTCTGCTCTAACAACAAAAAGTTGGAATTTTCTTTTTCTTTTTCTTTTTTTTTTTTTTGTGAAAGCTTGGAACCTCTAAATCAGTAAAATTGTCATCTCCTGCAAATCAAGGATCGATCATAGATTTATCAATGCAGTAGGTCCATGTCCGCCCTCAGTGGACCCCACAGGCCACAGCACCCAAATGGACACGGCCTTGGCGTTGGCAACTGTCAATTATAGTCATTGACCCCTGGGTTTGGGGCCTAAAATATAGGCTCGGATCAGTTGGGCCAAAGTCTGGGTCTATAATTTTTTATAAATAATATATTATAAGTTTTTGGCCTCATTTCATTTGATCAGACACCAGTAAAGGAAACCCAACCCGTTAACCTAACCCCAAAACCATATAAGCAATGTTTGATATAAAAATGATTTTGGATTTACATCACAGCCCTGCATCGGGAACATCTTCTGTACCTTGATTTTATCATTAATGCAGAACTGTGATGTGCTGTGAGGGCAGTGAGGCGCACTTTATGAGTAATAAATCCAAATTCATAAAAGAGTAGATACTACGGGGTCAATGACAATAACCCCTAAATCTTTATTAGTGGTAAAAAGTAAAAACCGCCTTAAACTTTCACTTTGCAATAAACACCCTCTGGTTGTTAAGTAAAATGACAGAATGGGTTAAATTATCATACTCACCTGAGCTTTCTTTCCTCTTTTTTTACTCGCCCTTTTTCACTTAAGCTCTAATTGACCCAAAAAAAAAAAAACTTCATTAAATTGAAAAAAAAAAATTATATTGTTGTTTATTTCACTGACATAAATATCTCTCTCTATCTATAAGATAAAAACCTCTACCATTTCATTTGGATATTAATTCCAGTCAGAAATTTGCAAAGATCCATTGCATAAATAGAGAAAACTTCGATAACATATTTAAAAAACTAATAGAATCATAAATCATTTAAATGAATAAGAAAATGATAGTTAGAGGATTTAAAACATTTTAAACAATTGAATAAAAATCTTTTCAAAATTAACTGACAGAATTGTAATGGGGGTATTTGWTACAAATGAAAGTTTATGGCTTAATTGTCACCGAGGATAATTATTACAAATGAAAGTTCATGGGATAACTATAACACCCCTGGGGTGTTCTTTGCAATTCACCCAAGAATTTAATACATCTGTCAATATCAATTAATGATTGAAAGATATGTGTTGGCTGCACCTAGGACCATTTGTTGACCCAGACAGTAGGACCATTTGGCCCGGTAACCATCTAGGCAACTAGTTCGGTTTTACTCCAAACCCAGCCTCTGGCCAAAAACCAATGAGTCAATCAACGATCCATTGACTAATAATAATTAATGACTTCTAATCATGTTTAAAGTATCAATACGATATGCCCCATATTGGGCATATCGAATCGTATCTTTTGAAAAATATATTCTCCAAAAACCCTAAATTTTTTAATAATAAAAAACATGTTTTTAACTTCCCAAAAAAACAAAATTTGAAAAAAAAAACTAAACAAAATAGTGTTTTGGGCGTTTCTAAGTACCGAGACGATACTACCGATATGTGTGTCGTATCGATACTTTGAACCTTGCTTCTAATTAATTAATTTCAGCTATTAATTACTAATAATAATAACTCATTGATAATAATTAATTATTGATAATGATTTCTTATAATAATTAATGCTAATACTTAATTATTGATAATATTTCTCATTATTAATTCGAAATGATAATTAATAACAATTTTCATAATGGTAATTAATAATTCAAAAATAATCATTTTATATTTATATAAAATCATATTAATTATTTTGAAAATAAATATTTAATGTTAATTATTTATATTAGAATTATTATCAAAAATTATATTTCATACATTTATATGAAATAATTAATTATATTATTGTTATCAATAATTATAATTAATACTTATATTAATTAATATAATTATATATTTATATTATTATCAATAATTATAATTAATTATTACTAATAATAATGATTTCTGATCAAATTTAATTAATGATTAAAATTACATACTAATAATTAATTCCTTAATTATAACAATGTTAATTATTAATTGGGATAAAATCATTTTGTATTTATATTAATTCATATTAATTATTTTATAAATATATAATTAGTGTTACATATTTACATTATTATTATAATTAATACTATTATTATTCTCCAATAAATATTTGATTTGGTTAAAGTTAAATTATAAACTTTCAATTATCCATTATTGTTAAACTAAAAGAAATATAAAAGCAACTATTATTTCAGGAATTAACTAAAAATCATAATTATAACAAATTACCTATTTCATAATAATAATAATAATTTAATATTACTGATTTCAAAATCAATACACACATAATAAGAATATATTATTAGTAAATAATAGTAAGAATGATATACTTATTATTATTATTATTGATTTCATAATTATTAATATATTATTAATCTATATTACTCAATAAAGACATGAAATAAAAAAATATTCAAATTGCTATTAAATGAATGAACTAAAAATCTATGAGTATTCTAATTCACTTGAATTTGACACATCAACATGCCCAAATTTATAATTTCAACCTACATTTCCTATTTCTATCTCCCAATTCACATAATTAAAACATACCATTATGTTATGTACATGTTTCCCTACCTTTTTCCTAAAGTTAAATTCTAAGTGGGGAGCTTAGACTTAAAATCTGTAACCATGATCGACCGAACGAAGCGTTGCCACCTAACTTGGAGGTGACTTCCATACTTAGGATGGTCCCATTATTCTCCTTTGTTTTCATGTTTCCTCTGTTGGATGGGATTTGGAGTCATGTTGATTGTAACCATACATGATGTATTTTTCTTCTCTTACTTCAAAGGATGAATGCATCTACAGATGTTGTTTGGCATGGATTATTTTTCTTAGCAGCTCTTTGAATGATTTTCTTCCTTCTTTACCTCTTTGAATGGATATCATTTAAATGCATTTTATCCTTTCATATGTTCCTAAATATAAGTAGTATTGGTGATATTGTTGTAAACATCCAACTAATTTTACTATTTTATAAATAGATTAATGATTTCAAAGTTATTGATACTTTTTTGGGGGGTGGGTTGCTCAACAGGATATTGATTTTTTATTGTTAAATAATAAATTTCAAATTAAATGATACTATAGTTGCCCCTTACTTAGTATGGGGTCATTGTCTAGATAAAACATGGTAAGTATCTTAAATCAAATAAATAGACTACCCTAAATATCTATTATAAATAATTAAAAAATGAAATAATTCAAATTAAATCAAATAATTACTTGCTGAAAATTACTGAATTAAGTAAATAATAATAACAATCAATTATTTATAGAAATAATTAATAATAATAATAATAATAATCAAGTACTTAATTAAGTAAATAATAAAAAACGAAATAACAATAATCAATTATAATTAATGTTTATTCAAAGCATGCCCCATAATAATTATTGAATACAGTAATTAAACCTTAAATAAGAATTAATATTTATTAACAGTCATTAAAATTGTTAAGCTAAATCATTAATGTTTATTCTTAAATGCAAATCATGAATTAAAAAATTTATTATATAATAATTATAGTCAGTTGAAAAAAATATTTTAAGTAAATATTTAAATAATTACAAATTTAGTTAATATTATTACTATATAATAAAAATTTTAAATTAAATACTAAAATAAATTAATAATAATAATAATAAGAAGAAGAAGAAGAAGAAGGAGAAGAAGAATGGTTAAATTAAAATAATAAATGGTTCAAATTGAATTTAGTGACCTGCAAAATTTTACGGGTTTGACATATTACTATAATACAAATTTCAAGAATGCTATGAAAGCTTGAAAACTATGAAGATAATAGCAGGTACTTGCCCTAGCCGGACCTAACCTCATCTAAGCCTGACAGTTTGGAAGCTCATATCGAAGGTATCGACACTTTTGAACCATACATTCCACCACCATCCTGCCAACACGCTATCGTTAACAACTACCCAAGGCCGAATCTAGCACATGGAAGAATGGTAGAATGGTAGAATGGTAGAATGGTAGAAGCATTTTGAAGTGTACTCATCATGCAAAACAGATAAACATACGTACCCAAACAAACAAATAAACACCGTACCCAAAACAGATAAACACCGTCCACAGGCACATGGAACACCGAATAACGAGTACCCAAACAAATAAGCATACGTACCGAGCAGGGAAAGCCACAGCCCACAGGCATCATTCGAATGGTAGAAGCATTTTGAAGTGCACTCATCATGCACCACCTCAGCTCCTTATACACCTCAGGCCGATATGTCATAACGCAATTAACCACGTAATTTGATGTTTCCGACGACAAAAATGGGCATCAAGAACTACTAAATAAGGACACGATCTAAGCCCGCTCTGGTCTCTAACCAAGCAACTTACAGCTGCAACTCCTGACTAAAACAGACCTTCCGATCCCAAGGAGAGCCCCCCAGAGCCAGAAGAAAAAGAAGAGATTTCGAAGTTTACAACTTGTCTCCAATTCCAACAAGTATAGAGAAGCAGAAATATAATAAACTAAGTTGTTTCCAACGAGTCTCGTATTCAAGTAGTATCCCAAACGCTACAATCCTCAAAAAAAAAAAAAAAAAAAAAAAACAATTATGCAATTCCATCGTACCCAATATACACTATTACAGGTGAAAGAAAAAACTATGCCACTAATTCCTAACAAGCCATAGTATCTACTCTCTACCTATACTATAGACTAAAGCTGAGAAAGGCCACATTAAATGAAACGCTAATGGCCAAGAACCCGGTCAACGAGGGCTGCAGACAGAAACAAACACAAATCAATTTGCTGCCTTTAACATGTCTTCCAAATCCAGGGAATTGAAATAATAGATATACGTACCTGTAGGACCGAGACCTTGACCTTGATGGACTCCGACCATTTCGCCTTGGGCTTGGTGATCGGTCTGACCTGGAGCCCCTCTCATCCCGGCAACTCCGACCATTTTCAATTGGACCTGGTGATCGGTCTGATCTGGAGTCCCTCTCATCTCTGTGGCTCTGGCTGTTTCCCCTTGGACTTGGTGACCGGTCTGACCTAGTATCATCCCTGTGGCCCAGACTATTTCCCTTTGGGCTAAGTGACCGGTCCGACTTGTAGTCCCTCTCATCTCTGCGGCTCCGACTGTTTCCCCTTGGACTTGGTGATCTCGAGTCCCTGTCATACCGAGGGCTCTGAGCATTATCTCTTGGACTCGGTGACCTCCTGTTGGACCTGTAATCCTTTCCATCAAGAAGAGAGGGCGAGCGAGAGATGGAACGTGAACGTGGTGGCGAGTAAGAATCACCCCTTGCCCCACGGCCACGGCCTCTGTCTCTGTATTTCCAGTATACATAAAACTTAGCACACGGAGAAGGATTAAACAAGTACCAAACATATTTAGGATCAAACAAGGTTAAAATGCGCAAACAAGTATTATCTAATTTGGAGTATGCAATGAACTAGATGGGTTCTCAGAACAATCGATGACCATGACCAATTCTCCACTCAAAAAACTCACTGACGATATTACTAGAAGTAATCTCGTAATCAGAATGAAGAAATTACTAGTCATTTACATTCACCTATTGATAGGTTGAAAAACGTTTTTACTCAATTCCGCGTTCAGAATCCAAGTATTAAAAACATGTCCTTTACCTGCACTGCATTTCAGATTTCTGAACAAAATTATGAAACTTTCCAGACATTGTTTAGTTATGCTCTAGAACAGTGTGGTGGTTGACCAGCATCTGACAACTGCACAGCTCTCTCTTTGCCCCATCTCTCTAAAATCCCAAACTATCTTTTCTTGGTGCAAAGTAAGGACAACCCCATCCAGAAGATAATGAACTTCAATGGGCTGCCATTCTCTGGAAATCAAGATTCTCTCTTTTTGACAATTATATTCTCTCTTAACTGGATAGTACGCAAAACCAAGATATCAAAACATGTACAAAATAAGAAAAGTAAAGCTTTCTTGTGATTACAGTTTATCTAACAAACCATGATAAGCTCGTTTTGACAGTTCCATTTAATGAGGGTGAGCCTTGCAAGCCAAAAGCCAAAAAATAGGAAAGCCCAAGCGATTTGTAGGTTACAGTTGATGAAGATGAGATCAGTAATGAATACTTCTCAAGTAGCTTTGAAAGATAAGTAAGCAAGTAGTCAGTCACTTTATGTCTCTTTTCTCTTTAGTCTTTACTAATCCATGAAATTCTTTAAGTCTCTCATTCACTTTATAATCTGCACGAACAATACCATCACCAGATGTTATTCAAATCCATTGGAACACATGTTACATTCCTCCCGAGAGAACAAGCAGCATAATCAAGAAATCATAGACAAGGAAGATTAATCAATGCAAAAGCTTGATGAAGCCTTCCAGGTAAAGAAACAAGAAATATGGAAATTTTTCCAAATTCATCACCTGGATGAGAAAGGGAAAAAAAAAGAAGAGGCAAGGCACTGATAACAACCCATTTATGGTTATATGGTTGAATGGATTCATTCCACTAACACCTTTGAATCATAATGGCCAAGCAACCATATTGCTTCCAGAAGTTAATAATAACAAAGACTTTAATGTAGTTCGTCAGAATTACAAAGAGATTCAAAAACAATAAAAGGTCAAACAGTGAACATAACCATGAAAAATCTTGCTAATCAGAAATATTGAGGACAACTTGTGTAAAGCCATAAGAAAACTATCAAGTTATCAGCTAATTCAAATATATTAATATAAAATAAAAAGAGTGTCATAAGAAAAATGACAGCCAATTTAGATATTTCCTAAGGATTGAAGAATACAATATATGCTTCACAATCCTAGAGTGGCTTTGGCACGAGTAACATATCAAACAGGTCCCGGGCCTCCAGGCCTTCTCAAAAACATTTTGAAAAGGGTTTTGTTCAAGCAAATGTTACAAACCAAATCATATGAATGATAAACCATGTGGGAACTCAAAGCCAACATATGGGGAAAAGAAAAAAGAATCAGAATCAATAAATATGGAATCTGCAGGTCCAACTTAATACATAACTCAGCCAGTAACTCTAGAAAGGCATTTACAAGACCACAATAGCCCTGTAAGCTCAATCTCCAATTTTTGGATTTATTTGCCAACAAAATTGTGTGTATGCATTTTAATAAATCTTGCACAAGCTTGTTACCAGAGATTGATAAAGTTCACGGGATGGAGTTAGGATGCGACAACAACCACATTAACATCCTTAGCAAAGAAAATTTCAATGTCAAGGTTAGAAAAGATGAAGTGAAGCTCTACAGCCAAGAAAAAGGGCTGTTGCACATGCTGGTCCTGCTATCTGGGTTCTCAGAGGGATGGACTGTATATTGACCCAACCTCCAATACAATAATTAACCAATTGAGAATTGAGGTAAAATAATACCAATCCAATTTCTCTGAAAAAGGAATATAATCCAGGAAATCACTGTGCATCCTCAGTATATTCAATCAACCCTAACATCCTCAAGAGGATTGCGCCATGACCCTCTTAGAGTAGAGCAATAAGTTCAAAGCCAGTACACTGTTTAAAATATATTCCTGCAACCCAAACTGAAAGATGGGCTATTTAATACATATCATTGCCGATGTCCCCAAAGTTGATAGTACTGTAAAACTGCATCTACACTTATTTTCTGTAGTCACATCCTGTTATTATTGGAAATAAAGCTTGTTGCCTCTATTAGAGAACTATAATCCCCACTCCAGTGCACTTCTGATCACATGTAGTGTATGCATAAATAACTAAATAAGCATCTAAAACAAATATATTTGCCAACACTTTCTTTTGAAAATAAAGTAGACAAAAATCCAGACGGCATAAAAAATGATAGAAAGTCATGCATAACTAAAAGATGCAATGCAGTCTAGCCTTGCAGAAACCGAAAAGATAAAAAGAATGAAACCACAAAAAGAATAACAATTCAACAACAATAACGCATCCCAAACAGGATGCAGCATTGCAATAATCCAACAAGAATGCATAACAAACACATTTATCCAAAAAATATCCAAAGTACATAGAATACAGACCTTGAGTCATTTCTTGGTGACGGCGAGCGTGAATAAGCTGTCACATGGGGAAAATTCATAAGCAATGGGTAGAGGAATTAGTACGACAAAGTTATAAAACCATTTACACTATTGCCCATGAATATATTCACATCCTAGAAGACAAAAAGATAGAATTTATAAGAATTTTAGGTGAATTTCCAAGATGAAGTTGAAAGTTGAAACTGACAATGATATCGACGTCTTGGGGACCTTGGTGGAGATCGCCTTTTATATCGCCCACTACAGATGCAGAACCAAAATACTATTAGAAATAGCAGAACAAAATAAAAATGATGATAGGAGAGAAAAGAAATAGCCGGACCTTATGCGTGCATTCGTACGCATCTCTTGAGGAGTTTTTCTGTTCTCTTCAGCAAAAACAATTGTTATCTCACGTCCACCAATAACCTGATGGTTCATATGTTGCTTGGCCTCGGCCGCATCATCAGCATTACGGAATTTCACAAATCCAAAGCCTCTTGGCTCCCTAGAATAAATACATCCAGAACTGTCAGATGCAGAAAACCATGAAAATAATCAAAATTAACTGCTAAAATGCAAGTCCTTGCAACTGCCAGCAAGAATCACATCCAGATACACCACTGCAAAGAATGGACCAGTCCTTGCAACCAAACCAAATTGTGTAGCTATAGGGTTGAATCTTGAACCAGGCACAATCAAGAGTTGATTGAGCAAGGTACAAAATAATTAGTTTTTACAACAATTCCTGTACCCTTAATTCCAAACTGATTGTGTATCCAATTATATATCTAACTTAGGTTGATAAAATACTAAAATAACATTTTATTGTCCATAATGCTCTCAACTGTGTATTCTTCTAGGGACCATTTGATAAAACTTTTACATCCCCCCTCTCTGGTCTTTTTTCAGTCTGTAATTTATTTCACGTTTTATCAGTCATGGAACTTTTCCAAGATAATCATAGCTCTTTTTTATCAGCAACAAAAAAAGTGAAATTCTTTATAATGAAAAGAAGAATCCCTACAACCCAGACAATTGAATTACAGAATAAAAAGAAAGGCATATTTCTATTTACTCCAGATCGATGACAAAATCTTTACATCTTTTCTCCCAGTCTTGGAGTACCACATACCTATGATACCCCAATAGCTGTACATGTTTAGAATAACAGTGTCAGATACAATACAAGATACCACATGGATACTTCTAGATGTACTCTATAGCCTTAAACTATAAAAGAATGCAGAGTTGTACATTTTAACAAACTATACTATAAAAAGATTGCACATAATAGGAATTTAATTAAATTTGGCACGAAACAAATCTTGAGAAATGACATTTCGCTCCAAAAACTAGATATAATAGATATAAATGCATCATATAAGCATAAATGTGTGCTAAACAGACTTGTTGTGCCTTGTTGAAAAGGCTTATTAGCTAATTCATTTAACAAAGAACTCTTATTGAAATGGCAGTTTTCAAGCAGCCTTTGGGATTCTTGGTTTTATTCAAAGACCATCACCTAGTGAGTGTTATCAACCAAATAAAAAGCTAAATCACCCAGTGAGTGCTTGACCAGGTGATTTGGTTTCAATTGTTCACATGGTCACAACACTTACTTGCAACCCTCTAATAAAAACACAGGCATACTATTAATCAAATGAAAAACCAAATTATCAAGTGAGTGCATCCTGCTGTTGCAACCCCAATGACACACTAACAACCACTAACAGATAAAATAGGGATTGCCTAGATCCTACCTTACTATGACAATTTGGAAATACCAGGTTAGCCTAACATGTTGAACAATGAATTCACACAACCACAACACCTTTGTTCAACTCTCCAATGAAACACAAGCATGCTATCAATCAAATCAAAAACTAATTCACCCAGTGAGTGCATGCCAAGATGATTTGGTTTTGATGAGCTCACATGGTCACAAGTCACAACACTTTCTTGCAACCCTACAATAAAATACAGACATGCTAACAATCAAAACACACGATGAGTGCATGCCTTATTCCAACCCCAAATGATACAAAAAATAACCTACTAACATGAAAAAAATGGAAACTACCTCTAAGGTCTACTACCATAATATGACAATCAAGGAATGGCAAGGTAGCCTAACATTTGTTGTGATGTGTTCACATGGCCACAATACTTTCTTATGACCAACAAAACACTTGCATGCTATCAATAAAAAGGAAAATCAAATCACCCCGTGACTGCATGATTGGGAGGTTTGATTTTGACAAGTCCATGTGATCGCAGTACTTTCTTGTGACCCTCTAAACTCACAAACATGCTAAAGTCCATGTGATTTCAATTAGTCCACATCAACCCAACACTTTTTTGCAACCCTCCAAAAAAACATAGACACTCTATCAATGGAAAGGTAGCTCAACATGTAGAGGAATGAGTTACATAATCATACCCTTCTCGAATATTTCTGAGATCATTCTCAGGTAACCAAATGCCTCCTCATGATGACTTTCTCACATAGACAGTAAATTACATATTCAATTTTTTTTTTGAGAAGGTAAAACTTTTATTAAAAATGATGAAAAAGATGCAATGGTTTCCAGGCATCTCACACCCAGAAAGAAGACATGTTACAGCCTCCAAATGGACTGAGTGCAAAGCAAATGGAAAAGATTCTGAGACTTGGGGCCTGTTCATTTGCTCTGAAGTCTGACATCTAAAAGTGCAATAATTACATTAAAAGGTATATTGGTATTGGTGAACTTTTCTTTCCTCTGAACTTTGAATGCAGAGAACGTTGTTTTAAATTCTGAATTCTGAAAATTATCAAATATCCATTTTGACCCCATATATGAGAATTTTGTTTGTCTTTTTTGGGGGTATCATTGGAAAACAAAAAGTTGTCTGATTGCACTTTAGGAGATAAGAGATAAGAAGAAACGAACAACCATTTTTCTCTTACAGTTAAAAGACTCCTCTTAAGAGATAAGAGTTGAGAGGAAACGAATAGGCCCTTAAACACAGAGTTAACTGACAGCCAAGAAGCAAGCTTAGACACTGCAGCCTGACTTAATTCCTCCGGACTACTCACTTTGTTGCAGAAAATTCTGTTGTTTCTTTCAGTCCATAAAGTTACTAAGACAGCCACAGGGGTAGTTCTCCAGACCAGATTACCCTTTTTCTTCAGGCCCGGCAAATTCCAGCAGCATAAGAGATCCTTAATTGAACCAGGCATAACCCAGCAGACCCCAGCTACTTTAAGAAAGTGCTCCCAAACTCTTACAAAGATCGAACAGTGGATGCCAAGATGATCAACTGTCTGGCAAAAACCTACATAAGCCACAGCTAAGGTCTTAAAGATGAACCCCTCTCCTAACAAAATTAGCTCTCAGCAGGCACTTATTTAGAGCCATCACCAAATCAAAAAATTATGCTTAGGTGGACTGACAGAATTCCACACCTGCTTGCTTGGAAAATCAGAATTACTTGCTTACTCAACTTTGAAGCGAAAGATTTAACAGTAAAAACACCATCTACACTCCATTCATCCTCCATGTTAGCAGAGATAGATTGCCTCTGTAACAGTTGTAGAAGTGCCAACAGCTGATCCATCTCCCAGTCAAAAAGATTTCGTCTAAAAAGGGGACCAGGAGATTGATGGCATTCTTTAGTGGTGATTTTACTCCGTATAATGATCTCAAAAATACACAAGAAGGGTATTTTTGACATTATGTAATGTTTAACTGACGGAATACTAACAGATGGACCCAAGTGTCTATTTTTGAGAGTTCAAGGTACTTAAGTGTTGCAATTGAAAGTTCAGGGTACCTATCTGTCACTACTCCCAAAGTACAGGGTACCTATCTGTAATTTACCCTTAAAAAATTATTTTCAATTCTACTATTTTATAGCACAAAAACAGACTTCAGAGTTTCCTAATCTCACTAACTCATACCTATGGCCGGAATGACTTCAAATCTGACTAATAATAAAAAAAATCCTAATGATTGATTTTTTACCAATTACAACTTTGACAAATAACAACTTCTAAACCAATTACCTATCAGAATGGGTCCTAAAACTACAAAAATTCTAACTCAAAACCAGTGCTATCAATGCAGTGAGGCAACAACCAGTTGTTTTGGCCTCTCTAATCTCTAGATGCAATGCACTGACCAATAAAAAAAGATACGGTCTAAATTTAACATGTTGGTGCAATCTCATAAATAAGTTTAATATAGAGCATCTATGCAATAAAATAAAGTTATTCAACATCTAGTTCACCATCTCCCTCTTGCAAGCATAAAAATGTTAGGCTGGATAAGTTAGAATAGGGAATTACAAACTTTCTTTTCTAAGACATATCTAAGTTGAAGCAAGGTATGTATCTAAAAATGTGCCTAGAAGCACTTAAGGCACACCTTTTAAAACACTGCATTGACCATGTCTAATGTCTCCAGTCCTATATTCCAAATTAGCATTGTTTTTTCATCCGTGGATTGGAAATCTGTTTGCTAAATAATATAGCCTATAATTTTTCATTGTTTTTTAATTTATTGAATAATTGCCCCTAAATAGAACTATTCTATAATGTAGAAATGTATTTTTTGGTCTAAACTTTTCCATTAATCTATGAGTGGAATCCAGGGACTGCTTTTGAGCTCCAACTGCCACATCGAAATTTATTAGGTCATTTGTACTCCTTAATTAGAAAACCTGATCACAATTAAATGATCAAAACCAAAGTCAAATCTATATCTTTGTTTTTATACTTTACAACTAGCTGCTATTGCTATTTCAGTGCAGTCAATCAGTAGGTCAACCAGACTGAACTGACATGCCCCACTAACCATCCCTGGTAGAGGATTTAAAAAAAAAAATCATATAGTGATAATGCTGCCAGGCCTTCAAACAGTAAATAATAGTGATGATTGGAATGGTTATTAAATTACAATCAGACTGGAAAAGACCACAATGCCCCTAGTTTGCTTATTTATTACTTGGCTGTTTAAGGTGGTGCTGGGTTCATGGTTCTACAAAAGGGCGGTATGGTTCCAGAACCATAAAAATTCTTTTTGAAAATAAATTTTTCAGAACCACACTATACAAAAGAGGCTCTCCTGTCCATGGTTAATTTTTTCAACCACGATATGTGAGCAGTGATTGTATGATTCATTGTACATGTGCTTCCACCATCTACTTCTGATTGTATAATCTTTAACAAATAGAGACATTATGGCTGGAGTCATATCGGTCTGAGAAAAACCATATAATTTCCATGTAATGTCATTCTTACATCTATAACCATGTTTCCTGGTTGAGACAGCTATAAAAGTCGGTTCAAAAAATGGCCATTTTGCTGAGTCTTGAACCATAAATTGTTGGTTCCAAAACGAGCAAAAAACAGGGATAGCATACAGAATGTTAGTTGTGTTCATGAAACAGATGAAATACGAAGACAACCATGAACAAAGCAAACACCGCACTAGAGTCAGCACCACTAGGTATCTCTCGGAGTCAGCACTTAGACAGCACTAAATGCAGCAATGGAGAAAAACTCTAATTCATTCAATCAATGCACAAAAGAGTGCTTACAATGGTTATACAAAGGATGCAAAAATCACTTTTCAGATTCATAATAATATTTATTTCCTAAAATAATGAAACTAAAAAAGGAAACACTCTCTATAAAAGAAAACTTGAAAATCCTCCAAAACACCCAATAAATCTCAGGGATCCAAACATAACATAAAAAATTGGCCATAAGGATCTTTTTAAGATTTGACTGGAACTAGTAGTGTGCACATCACATAAGATCCACTTCAATTGGCAACCGATTTATTAGGATTACTGGAATGGGCTTAACTTTGTAGTTATTAGGCCCAACTCAACAATTTATTGGGTTTGAGCTTTCTAATTGCCATCCCATTATGAGCCACTCAAAGCCATTAAGACCTATAAATACAAGTTTGGCTTCCCCTTTCTCAGCATTTAGTCCCAACATCAGATTGGAAGTTCTCTGGCATCCCCAGCATCACAATAATCATCAGTGCCAACATGTGATGGGCCTGATGGCCAGTGTGGTCAGAAAATTCAAAAAAATGCCAAAAGTTCAAAAAAAAAATCAAAAAATATTAAACATAATATTACTAAAAAATATAAAGTTAAATTTTAAAATAATATTTTAAAAAACCTATTATCTAAAATTAAAATAAATAAACATAAGATGTAAAGCATATTCAAATGAGAATTTAAAAATAAAACCAAACATATAAAACATTTTCAAGCATGTAAAACCTCTAATCTCTTTTTTCACTTAATTGTAGTACTTCACATAGCTAATGTAATGTAAAACATATTACATTCCTGATTCTACGAGCCACCTTTGTGCCACACCCCTCGAGGCAAGCCCAAACAAGGCGCCTGTGTGCCTTTTGAAAGGGCTGCACCTAGGACCTAGGCAAGGTGCATACCCTGAAATGTGCCTCGCCTGTGCGACTAGATGCGCCTTTTAAATCAATGCTGATGGCTTCACATTTTAGCTCTCAACTCTGGATTTTGTACCCAAGCCTTGCACCAAACAGCAGTACTCTTAAACCACAGGAAGATGGTAACATGACATCTCCCTATTCTCAACTTTAAGGCATGTTCTTTCAAAACCCTCTATAAAAAAAAATAAATAAATACAACTCAGCTTTGATTGACCTTCAATCATTTGTTCAAAATAAAGTGAATAATATTAAAATTGTCTTGCATTTCCTTATCACTGTTATAACCTCTTTCATGTGAAAAAATAGCAAAAAAAAAAAAAACAATCAACTACAATATCAAAGAAACCACAAGAACAAAACTAACCCAGTGTAGTAGTTCTTAGGGAGGTACACATCCTTTACTGGACCAAAACGTTCAAATGGAATCCTCAAATCTTCTGGCCTGCACACATACACACCAAAAAAGAAAAATATTATCAATTTCTATCGCCATTTTATTGAGATATATTAGATTCCCACAAAACCAAAAGTGAACTCACCAATCCATCAAACCGAAAAAAAAAAGATGGCAAAAGAAAGTTGATATATTTTTTTAATGCACGAAGAATGAGAAAGGGCCATTTACAAACCACGGCAAGGATCCCACAGCAACAAACAATAAAAATGGCAACGGGGAAAAAAAAGTAGAGCCTAGCAGAGATAATGGAAAAAAGGAAGAAATTCTTTTATTTGCATTCATTCGAAAGAGTGCCAATGTTATACCAGTCGACCACACGCAATACAGCTTGTAAGAGACCATGTACCTTAAAAAGAAAAGTGCCGTAATAATGTAATATATTATTGGGAAACAAATAAGACAAACTGCAAAAATATGGGAACAAGAGGCCAACTAAACATTCAAATCTACTTTCGATTAACAACCGGGAAAAAAAAAGAGACAGAGAAAATGAATTACTTAACCCTAAAGGTAGATCTCATGAAAGCAAACAGATAGGAGGACAGAATAAAGTAAGATAACAAACCTCGTATCCAGAGCAATGTTCCGAACAAGCAAGCCGGAAGGAGCAGGGGACCGCCTGTCCCTGTATGACCTGCTGCCCCTGTACCTTTCTCGAGGGTCGTCGTATCGCTTCCGTCGTGGAGGGCTTCTGCTACGCCGGGGACTGTAGCTTCTGCTACGGCTTCTGTATCTTCCCATTAAAGCAGAATCCTTCGATCCGGCTCCTGGGAGAAACTCCTACTTCCGTGAAAGAAAACCAAGCCGGAAGTCAGAACCCTAGCTCAGCCCGTTGAGGATAAAAAGGCCCTAATAGTTGGAGAGAGAGAAGGAGAGAGAATGCGCGGACAACGTTGGCTTCAATAAGAACGCACCAAAGGCCCAGATTTTTAAAAGGCTTCACGGAATCCGACCAGACAAATACGTAGCGGCATTTTGTTAACGAGTATTTGTAATGTGAGTCTATTTGTACAAATAGATGAAATCCAATCCAATCCAACGAATATTTTGGACCGGCCTAATTCAATTTTTAAACGGTTTAATTTGTTTTAATTTAGATTAATTCTAACCTAAACCTGATCCATTAACACCGATATTTTTATCTTCTATCAATGAACAAGATATTGACTCAATCCAATATAAATTCTTCATGGATGAATATAGTCTAATCCAATCTAATAAATACTTTGGACCATTAGACTAGTCCAATTCAATGTCCTTGTTGGTCCATCCAATCCATCCAAATTGATTTTGGTTTGAACAGGGTCCAATCTAAAACCGGTCCATGGATGCCCCTATCTACAGGCTTTGACATAAAATAGAGGATTTTTTCTCAGTTTGGAAAATTATAATGTAACTTCTTTTTTGTCATGCCATCTATATGTAAAAATAAATTAAAAAAGGGTTAGAGTACAAAGAACTTTCCTACAAAATTATGAAATAATAATTGAAAATTTTCAGCCTAAAATATAAAAAATCATTATACCAGAAAATAAATGCAACCTAATCCAAGTGAGTTTTTTTTTTATTTTAAGTATCATTTGGCAAGTTTTCTTAGTAAGATCTCCCAATAACCAAAAGAGTCTTGTCTTAAAGAGGGGGGGGTGACCAAAAAACCTATTTTCTTTTTCCAAATTTATGTGGAGACTAGGGAAAGTTTATTTTTTCTATGGATTACTTACCCGGGTAAGTGATACCCATCTCCTAGGTGGATAAATTAACTTTCCTTGTTTGGGACAAAAATGCCCTTTTCGGACCTGTTTGGCACGTCTTTTTGAGAAGATCCTCTTGTAGCTCTGACAGTCAAAAGATGCATTAAGCTTTTGACATAAGATTTGGGCAGCCCGAAGATAGTTTGACAGACGCGCGTCTTTCCGTGCGTCTGCCTGCATCTTTCCACGAGAGATTAAAATGCGAAAGACGATTTGAAGCTTCCCAAAATGGGCTTTTCATGTCTTTTCGACGCACCATCTTTTGGCGGCTAGATCTTCCATCAGCCAAATGGGAATAGACCAAAAATCAGTCTTCCCGGCTTGTAAACAGCCGAAAGATCACGTTAAAAGATGTGCCAAACGGGCCCAAATATTTTATGGCTAAATTTGTCATTATTTTATTTACCTATGAAATAAAAGAACATGGGTAAACTCGAGTAAGTAACTTACCAAAAAGTGATCGGGGCCTAACGATCTAGACAATTCGATAAGTATCATAGTTTGCCCTAATCTATAGTCGTGAAATGAAAGATTTTAGGTATTTGAAGCTTTTAGGTTTTTTACCATGTTGGGCTTCCACAAGCTTTTTAAAGTATAGGCCTTTCTAGCTTTCTAGCTTTCTATCTTTCGTTGTCAAAAATAGAGAAATACCAATTTTTGGTTTTCTGAAAAGCCCAAAAGATCACACGAAAAAATTTGCCAACCACCTCATTAGTAAAAAGACTTCATAAGTGAGAGAGCTTGAAGGTTTGGAGTAGGTTCCCCTTGCAACAAAATTTATACCTATGATGGCAATGGGGTGGGGTACCCCCTCCTCATCCCCACCACATAGTCAAGATGCTCTACCTTGTCCCCACCCCATCTCAATGGCAAGGTGAGGAACCGACTCCTTGTCGAGGACGAGGAATCCCCAAAATTTTCCCACCTTGAGGCAATTAGCGAAAATAGTATAATTTGTGGATATTTTACAAATAGGATTATAGGAAATTGGGGGTAATTTAGGAATTAGAGTATAACAAATTGGGGGTACTTTAGAAATGAAAATTATAGGATCTTAGGATTTTAAGAAATTGGGAAAAGCTTAGAGATATTTTTAAAATGGGCAAATTTCTTAAAGTACTCCTATGGTTTAGGAAATTGACTAACTCTACTTGTTTACTTAACATCATTGTTAAGTAATAATGGAAAAAAATGTCAAATTCACCCTCCATTATTCCTTAAATTTTCAAAATAAAACCCAAACTAATGAAAAAATTCAGGAATATGAGAAAGCGGATTGTGGCTCCAATAATGATGTTTGGGAGGCAATAAAACCTACCTTTAGTTTCTAGCCAAACCTCTGCAAGGAAGCTGATGGTGGAAATGGTAGATCCAATTTAGTTTTTTTGTTCCTGATAATCGAAATCTCCCTTTATAATTTTTTTTCCTAAGGGTCTATAAGAAGGAAATCTATAGACTATAGTAATCCATCTATTGATATATAATAAAAAAAATCATAGTAAAAAATAGAAAAATTAAAATTTCATTTGCTCTATTTATCCATTTATGCTTTCCCCATTATTTACTTTTTCCTCTAAGTTTGTGGAACGATTGTGGAGGTTCATGCTGCCAATTCGTCGTTCTCACTTGTGGGATGTATTGTAAACAAGTTTGCATTCCCACTCTTGTTGTCATTGAAGTGAATGAGATACTAATGGCGGCAAGTGATATTGTGTTTATATGCTTCATTTGTAGCATTGAGAGGTCCAAGACCTTTCCCTTGTAAATTTATGCCCCAAACATCACACAACCTTAAGATGTTTTTCTAAAAATCTAGAACCTATATTCAAATCCCTTGCTTGTGATTTCTGCAGTGACACCAAAATCGTAGTTGGTGCATGTTGGAAATATGGGGTCACGGAAACCTGGAGAAGCTCTAAGACGTGTCTAAAGACACTGTCTTTAGAATGTTATTTGCCCACACTCAGTTTTATTGAGTTTATTGTTTGGTTACAAACAAATCCATCCCAAGATACAATAGAGCCTTGGGTGAGAATCTGCAACCATCAAAGTTGAAGAGTCTCTGAAGAAACCTTCTATGAGATAGTAGCAGATAGGACAGAGAGTGACAATAGTGATTTTCGAAAACTTGTGTTTAATTACTTGATTAACGCTCCTTAAATAATTTATGAGGAGTCATGGAGCATAAAAAGGTGTTGGTTCAAACATTGGGATTGTTAAAAAGGTAATTAACAGTTAAGGATTGTTAACTTTGAATAGTGCCTCTTGATCACATCCGATCAAATCATGACTATTGAAACATCAACGGTCAGCCTCGCACCAAAAGTCAAAGTCGCCCTTCACGAACCACGCAAGCGTGAGCAAAGTGCGCCTCATTGCTCCGCACACACGCGTGTGTGCACATTGCATGCTAGTAGACCTCCATACTCTCTTCTTTATTTCTAAGGATTATAAATAAGCTCCTATTTAAAAACTCAAAACAAGTTTTGTAGTTTTCCAATGTGGGACAAGTTGAAAACTGATTTTAGTAAAAGAAAAACCTCATTAGATTTAATCTCTAATGAGATTAAATTCCAACGATCATGAAATTGTCATTCATCACTGCATTCTCTCGGCTTGAAGTCCCTTTTTTAGGACCGTCTTCTCTAGTTCAATGCCCAAAGAAAAGGGTAGGAAATTTGAATTGAAGGATTTGACCATAGATTTCAAGGTGGGTTATCCCTTCGCTACATTTTTATCCTATATTTGTAGTGGAAAGGTCAAGCCATTGACAAAAGATATTTGTATTTGCATCGATGACAACTGCTCACATGTCGGCCTTTTATGGATTTCATAACTACTTTCAATTTCGTTGTTTATCTTTATTTGTTTATTAGTTTGTCATGGGCTCTGTGATAGATAACAATGGATAAGAAAGTGAAAGATTAGTATATGTTTGGCATCGACACTGCATACAAAAATGGTGTTGCTGATGTGTGGGTTGGAAGCATTGTTTTCTGAGAAAATGATGTCTTTTTTTTGTTTGGAAAAGTTGCTGCTAGGTATGACGTTTCCTGGAGAAACAACAATGTTTTCTATTTGGTACCAATGCTCCAAGAAACATTTTCAGCACTGGTACCTATTATCCAATGCCATGTCATGTCGCTGTCACTGCCACCTCACGTCCCTATTGGCAGCAACGAGTTGCAACTCTAGGAAACGCCAAATTCGGCGTTGCTCCAAGCCACAACTTCCCAATTTTCCAAGGTGTGGCTTAGAGCACCATTTTTTATGGAAAATGGTTCCAAACAAACAGGTATTTCCTGGAGCAGTGTTTTTTCCGACGTGACGCTTGTGTGTCGCCATTTTCTGAAGCAACAACATCGATGCCAAACAAACGCTTAATGACAATAGGTGATAAATAACAACGTCCACCTCATTTATTTCTTCCTACTTTTATTACTTGGTTGTATTTTTATGGATTTTTTTTCTTTTTTTAATTTTGGGTAAGTTGTGGTTTTCTCTTTTATTAATCTTTCACTTGTTTATCTACAGCTCATCCGTGCGCCACCACCGACTTCAAGTGCTGGTGCTTGTAACTAACTGAAGCTACAAGAAATTCGATGAGTGCAATGCGGTCAACCATTCAGAAAGGGTATTTTAGGATTTTTTAGAAAATAGATCAATCACGCATGTGACGTAGTGTGACGAAAGTTAACGGCAATGGAAGTTTTAAACAATTGTAAGAAAACTTAAGGGTACTTTAAGAGAATATGTAAACAATAAGGGTGAGCCAATTTCTTAAACCATAGGGGTACTTTAAGAAATAAATGTTGAGAATTTTACTATTTTACCATCGGGCGGATTCAGGGAATTATATACAAGCTCCATCCCTAGTTTGAGGCAAAATTATTTTTCCCATACCCGCCCTATCCTTATTTAAGATCGGGGAAAACCCACCCAATTCGAGGTGGGTGGGGTGGGGCCCTCATTTTACAGGGAAATTTACCATCCTTAATTATATGAATAGAATACCAGCATGATCTTTCACAATGCATCTTTCCATGAGATTGGGAACCACCATGTCTACGATGCACAAATACAAATCATGTTGGAACATTGTGAAACTTTTTTTTCTTTTGGTGCCTTAGAAGGTTTAGTATAGGTTGAGGCAACTAGAATAAATATTTGAATAAACAA